ATATATATATGTGTGTGTGTGTGTGTGTGTGTGTGTGTGTAATATTTATTTAACTTTCTATTCATCAAAAAGATGTATCCCGGTTTCTGAAGAATGATGCTGAAAATTTAGCTTTGAAAACACATTAATAAATTATATTTTAACATAAAATATAAAGCAGTTATTTTAAGTTTAAATAATATTTCAAATCAGATATACTGTATAAACAACTTTAATTTAACATTTAAAAGTATCAGCATATTTGAAAGATTTCATAAGGATCATGTGACACTGAAGACTGGAGTAATGATGCTGAAAATTCAGCTTTGCATCACAGAAATAAATTACTCTTTTAAATATATTAAAAGAGAAAGCAGTTATTTTAACATGTAATAACACTTAACAATATTACTGATTTAACTATATTTTTGAACAAATTAATGCAGCCTTGGTGAGCAGAAGTCACTTCTTTCAAAACACTGAAAATCTTACTGACCCTAACATTCTGAACAGTAGTGTACTGTAGTTGGAAGCTGGAAACAAAACAGTACATTTTACAAGAAAATACTATTTCAGTCTTTCTACTTCCAACATTTTGTGTTTAATTCAATGTGTTACTTGCCATTTCTTTGTAATTAATTGTGATATTTACTAGCAATTTCTGAGTGAAAATTGTTTCTACATCATTTTTTTCCCACACAGATACACAGCGTATTACATTGAGTACAAACAATGAAATGCCATTTGCTCTTTATGAATATTGACAGAAAATTCATAAGATCAGTAATGTATATATATATATATATATATATATAAAATCACATTACAAGCAACATCAAAAAGTGATCAAAATACATTGCAACACATTCTGAACATCAATTGATAAGAGTAATACCTTCTAATAACAACCACCTAACAGCTGGCAGGCGAATCAATAAAAAAAGAACACACTGAGACTGTCAGTAATGGTAGAAACTAGGGATGCACGATATATCGGCCACCATATCGGTATCGGCCGATAAATGCTCATTTGTTCTGTTATCGGTATCGGCCTGATAAGAAAATTTGGCCGATATCTTAAAGCCGATAAATAATGCATTATTTCCTTCAGAGACACTTCAGATGCGCGCTGTTCGTTTGCAGCCTTTTGTGCAATTGTACGTTGTAATATTGTGTTTATTTGATGTATATCTGATTTATCTCATATAGAATGCGTTTGGTTAAGTTAAAAGAGCGCTTCAGTTTACCGGTGATCGTCTTTAGCTCAGCGCACGCAGCTCAAACAGCAGTGCACAACATTAATAACTATGATTGGGAATGTCGTGTATATAACATTCTAATGAGAACATTATTATAATAAAACGTTGTGCATTCTTTGGGTTTAGTTGCTGTGTTTCAGCGCGTTGTTATGGGAAGAGCGCATCCACAACAGGATCACACATTCTGACTATAGCATGCAATAACTGCGTCATTTTGTACATATATAAGTTGTAATATTATGTTTATGTTGTATTAATATTAATCTCAGGATGCATTTCCTTGAGTTAAATAAGCTGCCAGCAAAACGCTTCAGTTTACCGTGTTCATTCAGCTCTTCAGCTTCAGCTTGAGCTGCAGCTCAATGGCTGCTATTTAAAACAGTGGTATTAATTTGTTACTTTTTCAAAATCATTGATATATTATTAATAACAACAACCACTTGTATTTTTCTCTTATTATTTTCATCAACAATATGGTTTAGTAATTAAAATCATTTAATTATTGTCCGTGCAGAGGCTATTCCGTTTTATTGATCTGTGGCGCATTCATTTTGATTCTTTACATGTGTAATGATGTCCAGTGACTTGTTTGCATTATTTATGCATAATTTTATTTATTTGTAAGGCTTTTTTATGACTAAATTTGGTAATGGGAGAGTAAAAATATTTTTTAAACGTACACCGTTCAAACTAGGCTGCTTATGTTGAAGTGTTTGGGATGTGGCTTTTAATGATGAGACCTTTTTTGTAATCAGGCTCTCAAAAAGTATATAACAATTTGGATATAGATTTATCGGCCAACATATCGGTTATCGGCTTTCAAAAATAAAGAATAATCGGTTATCGGTATCGGCCAAAATTTTCATATCGGTGCATCCCTAGTAGAAACCATTATGCACTACGCTGTCAGTCACTTTAAATAGTTTGAACACACTCAAACTTAGTTTAGCCCAAAATAATTTTCACTTTATCTCCACGGAAAGGTATGAAATTAGATGTGGCAAGCAGAAGGTGGAGTGGAAATCAAATGTGCTGCTTGATCTTTTGTCCTGGATGAAATTAAACTCAGACAGGCTGCACACTGAATTCAGCAGCTTTGGATAAAACAACAAAGAAACGTCAGCGAGAAAAGCTCTTGCTCAGAGGTGTGAATGAGGTTTGCTAAAGGTTGCCTTGATTCTGTAAAGTTAAACACAAGGCATGCAAACAATTCATTCTGACAGGAAATACAGTGGTTAACGAATATACATTTCAGTCTTTTCCTCACACAAAGTAACCAAATGACTTCAGAGGACTTGAATATAGTGCACCAGTCATATAGACTTGCTTCTTAGCACTGTAAACTACCATCTATATTCATTGTATGTTAAAATGTGCTAGCAAGAACTAAAACATGTTACCAACTTTTTAAAACATGCTAGCAGCTTGCTACAACATGTTAAATGTGATAAATCATGCTGAAAACATGCTAACAATTGTGTTAGAACGTTAAAAATGTGAACAATTTGCTAAAACATGCAAACAATGTGTGACAAAATGCTAGCAACTTGTTAAAATATGCTACAATCATGCTAAAATATGCTAACAAGATGATAAAACATGCTGTGCTATAAACTTGTTAAAACATGCTAAAACCATGTTAACTCGTGCTGGATAGCAATGCTGGATAGCAATGCATTTGATCGTTAAAAATGTGAACAATTTGCTAAAACATGCAAACAATGTGTTAAAAATGCTAGCAACTTGTTAAAATATGTTAACAAGATGATAAAAAGTGCAATGCTAGCAACTTGTTAAAACATGCTAGCAACATGTTAACTCATGCTAGCAATGTGTTAGGATGCTAAAAATGTGAACAATTTGTGAAAACATGCCAACAATGTGCTAAAACATGCTAACAACGTGATAAATATGCTACAAACATGCTAAAATAGGTTAACAACATAATAAAACATGCTATGCTAGCAACTTTGCTAAAATACCCAGATAGCACAGGTACATCTGCAAGATGTCTGTTAAAGATCGCTTCATCTGGAAAGCATCTGCTGTGTACAAACATCTGACAGACGTCTTTAAGTTGTCAGTTTTACATGCATTCTAAATCATAAACATCTTAAAGACATCTTCTAAATGTCTATTTGACATCTGATAGGAAACGTCCTATAGATGTATTGCAGATGAGCAAACACTAAAAAAATGCATCTTACAGATGTAAACTGTAGACGTCAAATACACGTCTCTGAGATGTACGTGTGCTATCAGGGTATCTACCAACATGTTGAATCATGCTAAAAAACTTAAGAAACTCAGGTCTTTTAAAGGTCTAGTGGTCTTTTGTGGTTTAATGGTCTGATGAGATCTAATAGGGTCTGAAGTAGTCGAATAAGATTTGAGTTTTTATTGGCATGTAAGTATAACCTCTAAACTTCAAGCTTTTAAATGTTAATTTAAACTTTCAGACAAGCCGATACCAAAGTGGGTCAACAAACTTGATCCAGGTTCTTCTTTTTCTTCAAAAAATTCCAACTTTTGAACGGGAGTATATGTATACTGTTAAAGGGGGCATGAAGGGAACAGCTAATAGATTACTTATAAAACAACTAGCACTGACTAATGCTTATTAAACTTGGATAAAACTGTTCTGGCCCCATAGTAACTCTTTGTATAACAACAAGCAACTGCTTTGCAATAAAGGCTGAATAAAGATTCTGTTTGATTTATATCAGACATCATCACAGAGCTGGAAGCGTTGATGGGAAACCTCTCATCCACGCCTACACAAACCATTCATCTGTTTCTGACAGTGCAGACACTTCCATGGCACGCTTCCACTCTGAAGTCTTATGTAGACGGAAGACAATGGAGAGGAATATCTGTGTGGCGACTAGTTGAATCACAAGCTGTTTATGCTGTGATAAACACAAGGCTGCTGTCCAAAATATGTGTCACACAGGGAATGTAGAACTACATCATAATGTAGAAGGAAGGAATATGATGGTTGAACATTGCTGGACTATGTTAATAGTTAAATCAAATTAGCTAGAGTGTGCAGACTCAGATCTATCTTGTATAAAATGCAATGAATTTCATGATGACTGGAATTTCATCCTTTTCTCTATGATCACTTTCTGTCTTATCAGTAATAAATGTGAAAGGCTATATACCAGATGTCCTTTAATTAAAGCCTCCTTTAGAAGTGCCTGCAGGGTTGTTATTATTTGCAATAAACTTGTCGAATAAATCACAAAAAACTGATGCAATTTCAAAAACAATTCCTCACTTCAGAGATGGCACAATAATAACTCAATTAAATAAAAAATGGCCTGGGCTGGAATAAAATGCTTTCAAGAAAAAATAAAAAAATAAAAGAAGTTTATCTTTATTCTAGTACTGTCAAACGATTAATCGCGATGAATCGCATCCAAAATAAAAGTTTTTGTTTGCATAATATATGTGTGTGTGTTCTGTGTATATTTATTATGTATATATAAATACACACACATGCATGTATATATTTTGAAAATATTGACATGTATTTACGTGTCTGTATTTATATTCATATAATTTATATTATAAATAAATATATTTAATATATAAAAACAAAATTTTTCTGAAATATATACATGCATGTGTGTGTATTTCTATATACATAATACATATACACAGTACACACACATATATTATGTAAACGAAAACTTTTATTTTGGATGCGATTAATCATTTGACAGCACTAATTTGTGCACAAAACAGACTTGTAAGCCTGAAAGGAAGGTCTGTCGACGGGCCTGTGAAAATTTTGCTTATTGGCCAAACCTGATTAGAAGCTCCGCAATGCCCATCCAAATGGTTATAGATTGGAATCTGTCCTACAGGAAGAGATTTCTGAAACCCGATCGCCACTTAAAGCGCGGAATGTAAATATTTGGTCCTAATGTTGGTCAAAACAAAGATAAGAAGGGCAAAATGGGCTTTATTAATTTACAAGGAAACGTTAATGTCCACAACCTCCCTCGCTAACCCCTGAAGAGGACACTTTGAGGATTTCTCCCCAGCGCAAATGGCCGTATTGGCTTTCAGCCGTTCTGCCGCTAATCTGGTTGGCATTGATGGGTTGGAGGAAGACTCTGCCGGTCTGGAGTCGAAGGAGATAAATACACACACATACAATATATATTTTGAAAATATTTACGTGTATTTACATGTCTATATTTATATTAATATAATTTATATTAAAAATAAATATATTTAATATATAAAAACAACAAGTTTTTCTGAAATATATACGTACATGCATGTGTGTGTATTTATATATACATAATAAATATACACAGTACACATGCATACAGTATATTATGTAAACAAAAACTTTTATTTTGGATGTGATTAATCGCAATTAATTGTTGTGACAGCACTACTTTATTTTAAACAAATATAACTTAATGATGGCTCTGTCCATTAATAATGAACAGGAAGAATAATGTTTAAAACTTGCTTCTCAACCGGTTGATCTAATTTCTTTGCATAGGTATTTTTAAATAAAATATAGACATACACCATGGCTGCATTTGTTTGATCAAAAATACAGTAAAAACAGTAATATGGTGAAATATTATTACAGTACAATTTAAAATATTCTAAAATGAAATTTATTCCTATGATACTCCAGAAATTTGCTCCAGTCTTCAGTGTTGCATGGACCTTCAGAAATCATTCTATGATTTGCTGCTCAGGGAGAGTTTCTTAATATAATTAATGTTGAAAACGGTTTTGTTGTTTAATATATTTGTGAAACCCCCCAAGATTCTTTGACCTTAAACCTTTGAATGGTAGTGTACAAATACCTATGAATACTAATGAAATAACGCTGGCATACATGGCAAAAGCTATTGTGAGAATGCTACTTCAGATTGTATTATATTTTATGTGTGTTATCTCACTTGTTGCTCTGTGCTTTTTCCAGTTTCCAGTTAGTAGGGTCACTCCAGGAGCAGTGAGTGATGTTACTGCAGTGATCCGAGAGGGCAAGACGGGTCCCAGCAAGCCTTCCCAGCTGCTCCGTGTTCCTGTATGCCACAAAGAGAACATAGAAGAAGAATTGAATATTCATGAAGCACAGAGACCTACTGCGAGAGAAAGACAGAGAATTACAGATAAAACTGACTGGTAAGCCCTAACAAGTTGGTGTGTGTGTGTGTGTGTGTGTGTGTATGTGTGTATATACTATATATATATATATATATATATATATATATATATATATATATAAACATTTAATGATGCATGAACTCATGATTTGCATCTGTTCGCTGAAACAATACGGCTTTTCTTGCTATTACTTTCAGATATGGAAGACACATACACACACACACACACACACACACACACACAGAGATGCTGGATTGATAACCTTGGGCAGATAATATAGATCATTACTAAACCTCATGATATCTGGCTTTTCTCTAGGTTACTGCGCATTAGTTTTCATTTATTTCACTCAAAGTTTCATATGTTGTGAGGCCCGCACTCTTTGAGGACACGTCTCACACATATCTCATCAATCTTGAATTAGCTGCTTGTCTTACATATAAAAAGATGAGATTGTTTAATGAGAAAAGCCACGCGGGCCTCAGTAAAAAGACATCTTCCAGCTTAGTCATTAAATAATTAAAAGCACATGATCAAAAACCTAAAAACTGATTAAAGCTACCAAAATCAACAACGAGAGTGTAGCGTTTGCTGTCTCTGCTCTAGTACCGCTTTTCCCATGGCTAAATTACGACATGAGCTTGAGCAAACAATCTCAATTTTCATTTTTGGGTGAGCTGTCCCTTTAATAAACACCTTTTTTTTCTTCTAGCTTTGAGGATAAAAAAAGGATGCGTCCTGTATAAACCCGTCTTCGCCCTGAACCGAGCGAATCAAAACAGGGTCGATCGGTTGATATTACTCTTGGGAAGGTTAAGAGACTTTGATATGTTTTGATGTCAGGAGTGATGAGATAGAGGGTGACAAGAGGACATTATCTGTAATCTGTTGTTATGAAGGCATCAGACAGAGGCGGTGAAAGCTTTCGGAATGACCTGTATGAGACAAATGGTTACTAGGGGTGAGAGACAGAGGAGACCTTTACAGTCGACGTGATGCGTGGTGAATGTTTGAGGTTAAAACACAAGGTCTAAAACTGTGCATTCTGCTGCTCACTGTTCGTTATTTGGTTTGGTGTTTTAGCCTAATGTTTTTGGCTAATCTAAGACTACAGCTTGTATAGGCAGCACTCAAACAGAAATTAAACCTCATGAATGACCGATTTTGAGCGTCTGTATAGGCAGCAATTCTGCATGTGAGACTCGACTCATAATTGATTCCAAATAGAGTTTGGCATTTGCATGTTGCTAAGCTAATGATGCATAAAAATACACAGCTCACACACATTGTTACACACGTTGAATGACCTTAGATACATTTGTAGACTTGTAAAAAGATGCCAGAACCCGGAAACCAGTTATGGTGGTATTTTTACCGTTCCATTTCCATTGTCCCAAAGTCAATGGGGATTTGGTTAAATGCTTGAAATAAGGTCTATGGTTCATGTTTTATTCTAGGATATAAAATACACCAGTAATAGCCGACTTTGTTCAATGTCTTGAAAAAGGAAGGTTAAGAGGCTGAATGGGACTACAGAGGTTGTCAGAGACATTAAACATCATCACACTGAATAAGAAAACTCATCCGCTTTATACTTGCAGTCTTGCAAGCTTTTCCAACTCAAACTTTCCTTGTACAAAAAAAAAAAAAAAAAGCTGAATGGTGGTGATGCTGAAGTCATGTGACCATGGAGTAGTTTGTTTATAGCCAATGTTTCGTTTTTTTACTTATGGCGATTGTATTTAGGCTTCGTTTTTGTGAACAAATGAGGAACAAAACATACAAGAATCATAACTATTATTGTTTGTTTTTTTTCTGGAATAATCCAAAAGCCAATGCACAAATCCTGTTGGCTTTTTGTTAAGGAAATCAGGGTGAAACTAACTTCTGGGTTGTCCTACAGAAAGAAAAAAAAATACATAACCACTGCTTTGCATTATGGGAATGACCTCTCCTCAAAAAGTACTTGCATATGCATATGTAGGCAGCTTACTACGTTCTAAGAGTCTAAACATTTCCTCCCTTCTACTATTCATAAATGTAATGATTTATGTTTTTTGTTTAACCACACAAAAACAATAGCTGATTATTCGAAGGGAATAAATAAATAACCCAGCAATTGCACAGCTTATAAGAAGAGATCCTAAGAATCCATCTTGTGAGATTCTGCGATTCTTTATGCAACTGTCTGCGAATATCTTCTTACAAAAGATGCCTTCAGAAAGAGGAAAAGTACAGATAGTCTCATCCATGCTTTCAGTGACTGCGAAAATAACGTATGAAAAGCATTCAGCATATTGCAGTGAAGATCTGTTACAATGCTGGCTTCCTGACATGCCAGGTTATGAGTTACACACAGGTTTGTGTAAACATTTCAAAATATTAGCATAGTCTATTTATGAGCAGACCACGTCTTTTATTAGATGCATTTGTCATAAAGAAAGAGGTGAAGTGTAATGCACCCATTGTGTATCCCAGTAATTTGTATCAATTTACAATTCCTGTCATGCTCATGCGACCGAGAGAATAATACATTTGTATTTATTTGGGAAGCAGAACAGCCTCTTCATTAAGAATGAGAATGTATTGCTGCTGCTGACACTGGACCTTGAGTGAAGCCCCTTACCTGATCGTATCTGCTCACTGAGACGATTCACTGGCCTCACCATCAGACACGCTTCTGTAACTTCTGATTATATTCATTAAGAGCCGGGTAGCTGGTCAATTTTTATGGACCTTTTATCACATCACCAGTCCTTTAAACCACATCACCACCATGAAGGAGCTAACTAATAATCCTGAAAATGAACTAACACATTTGACTCAAGTTATACGGGAAATACCATGCATTATATTATTGTAAGTCAAGGTAAATAATCATCATGTTATGAAATTTACTGAAAAACAACACATTTGTAGCATTACATTAGCATTTCATTTACACATTAATAATAACACTCACTTTCAGATTTCAGGCAGTAATTTTTTATTTTTTTTTTCTGGCAATATCTGTCTGAAATCTATTTAACTACTATACTACAGAAAAAAAAGGTGTACAGACCTGACCTAAAACCACAAGCGTCTTGAAAAAAAAGAACGTTTCATCATCCAGGACCCAGAAATCTTGTGTAAACTGCAATATTGACTGGAGCTGTGAGCAAATATAGTAATTTTATCCCATTCTTTCTTCATACAGTGTAGTGATAGTAAATGAGTGAACAAGTCAGCAACACCTTGAAATATAATAATAAACATGAGCAGAGACAACATTTCTCATAATCAGTGATCTCTCTCAGGAAGAAAAAAACCCCACTGAATAGAGCACACGTTTTCATAAACCCTATCCCTAACCCTATATATATACAAATAAAATAAGTTCATTTTGCTCACCAAGACTGCATTTAAAAATATAGTATTGTGAAATATTTTTTAAAGATTATTTTTTGTATATTGTATAATGTATTTTATTCATATAATGGCAAAGCTTGATTGTCAGCACCTTTCATTATAATATAAAATATTTTACTGTCAGTTTGCATCACTTTTAATTCATCCTTGCTGAAAAAGGGTATAATTAATAAAATAAAAAAAATCAATCAATCAATCATACTGACCCCACACTTTTGAATGGTAGTTCCCAAAGTTAGATATTAAAAGCAGAACAATAAGGAAACATACTGTCTAGAGTAAATTCAGTCTGAATCAATGAAAATTATTTTGAATAAACCAAATCTCTCAATGGTCCAATTGTTTTTCCCAACAGCGCATGAAAAGACATGTCAAGTTACTTGAGTCTAAAGTTTTCTGGACTCAAAACACATTTTGGGTTATTTAAACTTCTAGCTCTGATATCAGTGCGGTTTTAATAAGTATCGATGTGCTGCACAACAATAAACCATATAAATCACCTTTCTGCCTCTCGCTTTCTCAAACTCTAGGGAACAATGATGCTGCTTTTATTCACGTATAATGTGTAATAATATCACATGCTGTGAGATAATTAAACCTACTGCTTCAAAACTCTGTGCTTCATAATCCATTTTATGAGTCATATTATTTACGACAAACTCCGAGTCTCCGAGCGCTGGCTGCCTCTCCCTTCCATTTCAAACCTCGCCCTGCCAAAATGTCTCGTATCAAAGAAACAAAGGAATAAAATGTGACCTAGTTGAGTCCCACGGCACATCAAACGCACATCAGAATCAATGAGCGAAGACGTGCGGCGCATCTGCCAAGAATCACGAGCATTTCAACTCCGGAGACTCCTGTTGGCCTTAAGACGCAACCGAACCGAAGACTTCCTTTGTGGAGGCAACAAGAACTCCCTCTTGCGAGCTAAACGCCGTGGCCCAAGAGCGGGAGTGTTTTGGGAGAGATGAGTTGAATGTTAAAAGCTGTGCTTAAACTCTTCCTTTAATTAATTCTGGGAATAATTTTGAAAAGCCCAGTGTGGGTTGGAGTTTAGTGCCTGAGAGATTTAGGTTATCTGGGTGTAAGCCCGCTAAAAACAAAATGAATTTGATATTTTACAACATCAGCCTATGATCCTTTGATTGGATAATGGGTTTCACTCTGAAGTATTATTGCATTCATTATAGTTGACAAAACTAATCCCAGTTATAATATCCATGAAATTGATATACACTATCAGATACAGCTTCTGAAGGCTTCTAAGATGTGTGCTGTCTGAAGTTGTGGCGATGCAACCTATACTGTCAATCCTGGATCCAAATATCTAGTTTGTCATGGTGGCCAAAAGTGAGGCTCTTACCACTTTTAGGCTGTCATGTCTCCAAAACTTTGAAGACGAGTTCCTGTTTGTATTATCGCCCTGTCATATAAAAATGACAACACCATTTCACAAGCTCTCGTCATCGCAGCACTCACATGGCCTGTGCTCGATATCTCTCAGTGTAATTTTCCCATCGAGTGGCACTTTAATCAGTCTTATTTCTTTATTTGGGAAAACCGATTGAAATACTGTTTTATACAATCACAAAACTGCACATAAGCACATGGACGCACACGTACACAGACTTGTCGACCTATGCCTTCTGATACTGATCTACCGTTCTCTGTTTTTGAAGGATGTCACGCCTCAGCAGCGCATTGTGGGAGGCCAATCAGACCTGTCGCGTCAAGGTTGCCACCCCTGGCCTTGCTAATCTCCCCGAACAGATCCGTCTAAAGATCAGGTAAACAAAAAGCCTCAGATGCGTGACATTAATTTGGGAATTACATGGATCAGCAGGACTGCGCAAACCCACAGAGACAGGGACAGCGAGGAACTCTACAAAATGCAGGCAGTTTGAATATTGACATTTGAATTCCACATTAACAAAAGCTCTAATTCAAAATTCCAAAATTTCTAAATTAAAAATCAATTGTTCTGTTTATAGGGCCTCCTGCTTTTGGATCTTAGAAGGATAGTTCACCCAAAAATGAAAATTCTGTCATCATTTACTCTAATACCCTAATGCCAATCCAATACTATTTGACTTACATAATAGACATAAACAAAGGCCATATGTAATAAAAGTCAGTGATGACACATGCCTTTTTTAGGTGAGTAAATGATGACAGAATTTTTATTTTGGGGTGAATTATCCCTGGATGGATGGATGATACCTTGGTTGAGATCAAACAAAGGAGTGCAAACCAGTTCAGACTGCGTCAGCTAAGGGGACAGATACATTAAGTGTATATGGGAGGATGTGCAAGAGACAAATTGGCCTTTTTGGACTCAGCAGTTTAAATAAAAGAGGGCAGGATGCTAGGCATCGAAGTCTGCAAGAAACACAAATCAATACCTACTGCTTGATTCTGATAACCCACTAGAACAAAAGTTCAAGTGCCATTAGGACACTTCACTTCTGGGGCAATAATGGGCAAACTAGCTCAGACTTTAGAAAGCTCAAGGAAGCTCAACGCTTCAAAAGAAAATGTAAAAATCAAAACATAGGTTGAAAGGACCAATAGGTCTTGTAAGTGCATCAAAACAACAATAAGAGTATGGGAACAATGCATCATTATCTCATTGTTGGTCAAGCATCAGATTTTCATACTGACCAAATGCTATAATCATGCACCCCAGAACAACACGCGCATTTAATTAATGCAGGATACGCAGATTAAATATAAAAAAATTATTTAAAAAATCAGCACAGATGGTACTGTAAACACAGAAATAGGTATAGTAATTTAAGTGTATGAACAATTAGAAAATTCAGCTTATGATTGTTCATACACTTATATTACTATAATGATAAAGAATATTTTACTTTGTTCAAATCATTAATAATTAAAAAAAAAAGAAAGTTAAATAAATGCAGCGTTGAAGTGAGCAAAGGAAATTTCTTTCAAAAACAAACAAAAAATGAATACATACAGTATACCCTTCACAATGTCAATTTTGTTTTATCCATAGGCATACAAGTACTTGCTGTAGTAATGTTAACAGCATTAGTCTTTGAATAAAGTGAAGCTGCCACTGAAAATGTGTTCATCACTGCTTTCAGGTTGTTAATCAAGTCACTTAACTAAAATTAAACCAAATGAGATCCTGCTTCTGTTAATACATCCACTGGCATATATTTGCAATTTTACTTGATTACTTGATTTATTAAAAAAAGGGAAAAAACATTTATTCCAGCATGGGAATTGAACCCAGGCTGCTCTGCATGGAAAGTAGCACTTCCAGCTCTGGCCCAACTACACACTGCATAAATTGAATGGTGCATGATAGCGTTTCTTAAATATTTTGGGTGGTTATATGATAATGATTTTTTAAATTTATGTTTGTTTGTTTGTTTGTTTTTCTTGATACACACTTCATGTATTCGATTTTACAGACGTGGACTGACAATGGCACAGGGTGCTTAGGAAACATCAGAAGCTCTGACACAATTCAAATACTGACGCTCGCAACTCCCACAATGATCCCCAGTCTTTGTGACTGTAAAGAGGTTTAACTTCTGGGAAATCCTGGAACAATTAGAGTTTAGCCAGACATCTGAGAGGAGGCAATCCTTGATTGTTTCCTAAATTGTTGTGTCGAAAGAGGCAAAGTAGTACAAGTGAAACATGATGGAAAATGTTCATGCCAAGTGAGTTCTCACTATGTGGTCAGGACTACTCTTTTTATTATATAGATTATTACATTACAGCATGTTTTGTTAGATAAATAATTTTTCAGAGAACAGCACTATGTGGTATAAATGAGCAAAAAATAGGCAGCAAAGACTTTCATGCAAAGTCGTTTCTGTGATATGGCTGTTTGCTTGCTCTTCGTTGATGTGCCCTGTTCTGTTTGTCTTACTAATGAATTTGGATTTAATTTGAGATCTAGATAAGAGGACATGGATGTACTCCTGTCCCTTGGAAGTGCTGGATCAATAGAGATTACAAGAGTGAAGTAAGTCAATTATACTAAATGCCAGCCATTTTCCATCTGTGATGAACATCTCCTGCTTTAAAGGTCACTTAGGATCTTTAGACAGGTGTTCAATCTTGCTCCTGGACATCTATGTTCCTGCAGCGTTTATGGGTAATAGAATTACAAGCCCACCTAAATTACTAAACTAAAATTTACTTTGCTGTTTATGTAAAAAGTTGCAGTTTACAAGTAGGAAGGCATCAACACTGTAACTTGCCATTTATTTGTAGTTAACTGTGAAATTTACTAGCAATTTCTGAGTGAAAACTGTTTCTTTTTTTCTTTTTTTTCAGTAAAGTCATGTCTGAATTCAATTCAGTGTCTAAAGATCTAAATTAGTTGTTCTCAACTGGTGAAGGAAAAAAACAAAAACAATGCTGAATACAAATAAATGCAACCAACCATATAATCATACATACAGAGGTTAGGTTTCCAACTTTTAAAGGGGTCATATGATGCGATTTCAAGTTGTCCTTTCTTTTTGGAGTGTTACAAGCTGATTGTGCATAGATAAGATCCCTGAAGTTGCAAAGACTAAAGTCTCAAAACCAAAGAGATATTCTTTATCAAAGTTAAGACTCTGCCACGCCCCCCTAAAACGGCTCGTTCTAACACGCCCCCACATATCTACCTCACTATGTGGGAATATTAGCATAATGCGGCCCAAATGTGCACGCAAAGAAAGAAGGCGTGGTTTCAGTAACTGCAGTTAGTGTTGAAGCAGCATGTCAGGGAGACGCTGTGTGTTTCTAGGCGAAAGCAAAAGCACTTTATTTGGCCTTC